ATGGAAACACATGAACTATGAACCAAAGGCTGAGGGGCCCCCAACTGGATCAGGCCCTCTTTATAGGTGATACAGTTGATTGGCTTGATCTGTTTGGGAGGCATCTAGGCAGTGGTACCGGGTCCTATGCTCATTGCACAAGGTAGCTGTTTGAAACTTGGGACTTATGCAGGGACGCTTGGCTCAGTCTAGGAGGAAGGGACTGGACCTGCCTGGACTGAGTCTACCAGGTTGATTGCAGTCCTTGGGGGAGGCTTTGGCCTGGAGGAGGTGGGAGTGGGGAGTGGGCTGGGGTAAGGGGAGGGGGTGGGAGGGGGGAGAATAGGGGAACCCATGGTAGATATGTAGAACTGAATAGTATTGTAAAATATAGTAATAATAATAATAATAATAGTCTTTAAAGAGACAGTAAAAGCAACATTTAAAAAATAAGCCACATAAAGATGGAAAATACACAGAGAGTTTGAATTATGTCTAAAAAAAAAAAGGAAAGAAAGAAAACAGGCTGAGCAAGCTTGTAAGCAGCACTACTGCATGGCCTCTGCATCAGTTTCTGCCTCCAGGTTTCTGCCCCGAGTTCCTTCCCTGACTTCCTTCAGTGATGGACTGGGATGTAGAACTGTAAGCTGAAAGAAACCCTTTCCTCCACACGTTGCTTTGGACCATGGTGTTTTATTACAATGTATGACAGCTGTCAAAGTTTTCTGTCACCTCTGAAAGTCTTAGAACACAGGTCCCTCCTTTAACATTCTTTCTGTGCTATCATTGTATTCAGACACACAAAAAACACTGCTTACTTCTTATTCGCAGCAACGTAAATGCAGGGGTTGTAGAACGTGGAGGATTTTGCAAACAGCGGCGCTATGATGGCCATTGCAGGAGGAATCTTTCTGGGGTCTCCAAAACAAGCCCATAAGCACACGATGGAGTAAGGGGACCATGCCAGCAGAAACATCATTATCATTATCACAGACATCTGCAAAAAGAGATACCCACCAAAACTAGCACCTAAAGTGCTTACATGGCTACTGCATCCGCAGCAGCGTGACGACTTAGGCTGGAATTTGTTGGCGACATGGAAGAGGCTGGGGCTCCCTCCGCCTTCAGTGTTCTTTGTTTCGGCTCCTGAGCTCATCTACGATAGCAATTGCAAGTGGCTGTGCTGAGCCGCATGGGACGTTGCTGCTGAGGGTGTGACACCCCTGCAGAGAACACCCTTTCCGTTGTGTGCCTGGGGAGTATGCAAGGCTGGCCTCAAGCGAACATGCATGCAAACCCTCTCCAACCCACTTCGAGTCTCACTGACAACTGCCCACCCCCGTTGTTATTTACTAATCCCAACCGAACAAACTTTCTAAACTCCATGTGGAAACAAAGCCCTATTTTTTAAGCTTGGCGAGTTCTATCAGTAATCATGTGGCGGCATGTTTTACATACAGTATAAACCATGTGGAAAGGAGCCCTTTGCACCGTGTGTACATGAAGGGAAAGTCTCTGCTGACAGAGCGGCCTGATCAGGGCAGATCAATGCACTCCGGGGTATAGGAAGGATCAACTCCAAGGGGAAGACAATGTGGACCTAGTGCCCGGTGTGTCTGCACATACCACAAGGAGACAGAAAGCTGTATAATCTAACCAAACACTGCTACCATACCTCAGGATGGGAGAGAAAGGTGTGTCGTGGGGGGCGGGAGGGGGGGTGGGCAGGACCAGGACCTTGACACAGGAATCCTCAGTCTACAGGAGGAAGTCCAGGGGTCGGAGCACACAGAGACATCCCAGGGACAGATAGGCATGGTAGTCAACCATATGAGGACAAACACCAGCAGAAAGCGCAGGGCAGTGAAAATAGGGGGAAAGGAAAGGAGCCCGGGGCGGGGGGCGAGGGGGGGGGACCTTCCAGCGATGTATATTTAAAGCTGTACTACCAACAACATTCCGAGGAAGACTTTGACTTCTTGCCTTTGTGACATCTGCCTGGTCGGCCCAGTCTCTGTTGAGGTATGCAGTGCAGTTCCGGGCAGCATAACGTCTCATGGACTGAGCGACGTGGTAATAACAGTAAAACATCACCGTCAAGGGCACAAGGAAATTCACCACAATAACCGTCATGGTGTAAGACATGAAAGATCTGGAAATAGGAAACAATGATCATGACCACTCATTTAATACCCTAAACTGAGGAAAGAAGAACAGGAAACAATTGCTAGAAATAATAGTAGCAGTCATTTCATTGGTAAAAAGCTCAGGAAGTATGTTTGACTTATATTTCATAGTTCACTTAGACCATTAAACCTGTGGGTTAGTTCGTGCCAGCTAACTATCTTTGTAAATAAAGTTTTATTAAAACACAGTCATGTACACTCATTTATATACTGCTGATGGCTACTTTCACACAGAGCTGAAGCGTTGCCTGAAGTTTGACCCTTTACAGAAACATTTTTAGAAGATTTTGTTTTTGAGTCATCTTTCATTCCCTTTAGTGAACGAAATGATCCTCATTTCCACAGAAAACCTAGAGGAGTGTCATGAAGTCAGGGCAAATCCTTGCCGGGACCCTTAGCATACTCTTGGGCCCCAGACCACCTGGGAAAGAGAACACAGAGGTGGCCTGCGGCTGGGTTAGAGCTGCCTGCTCTCTGTCTTCACTAACCCTCTCCCACGTGTGACCCAACTCTGAGATGAGTAAAAAGTGGGAGGGTGTCCCCACGGCTGCCTGAGCAGAGGACAGAGGAAGGAGCAAAGGACTAAGGAAAGGGACAAAGGGAGCCAGGCGACCTTGACTTGCAAGCAAGCATAATCCGCTCTTTTGTGTGTCTCCATTTGTATCACACCGTCACTACCAAGGACACCTTTGTCAGTCTTTCCACGGACACTCACGGGCAGAAGGGGAGAGATGGCTACCTCAGGAGCATCTGACTAAAAAGTGGAAGCACGTCCTTACGCATCGTTTTTCCGCCAGTTTATGGTACAGGTGGTCCCTGTAGGATCTGGGGCGTAACTAGCCCAGCCCACGATGGGCATCAAAGCCCAGAACAGGCCATTGATCCAGGCGCCCAGGATCATGCTGAGGTAAGTGCTGGTGGTCATCCTTCCTCCTGTTGGGAAGCACATGAAGCATTAGTGTTGTTCACAATGACAGGACTCGCTTTGGCTCTACTGATGACTCAAAATAGTCATTAAGCACATTCTCTACAGAGTACCTTAGAGCACACAAAGCCTGCCGACGGGGTCTCACATTCGGACAAAATGACAACCTAAAATCTCAGTGATAAAAGTGTAGAGCGTAAGCAGGAACAACAGCTTCCAGGCCAAGGAAAACAAGACATACAAAGTCCCAAAGGGTGAAAGTGCCTGGCCAGTATCCAAGTGAGAGTGACCCTGGATGAAAGGTAACCAGGGCCAATCCTGCAGGGCCTTGCAGGACGCCTAATGGAACCTAGATTGTATTTTTTTTTTTTTTTTTTTTTTTTTGTTTTTCGAGACAGGGTTTCTCTGCGTAGCTTTGCGCCTTTCCTGGAGCTCACTTGGTAGCCCAGGCTGGCCTCGAACTCACGGAGATCCGCCTGGCTCTGCCTCCCGAGTGCTGGGATTAAAGGCGTGCGCCACCACCGCCCGGCCCCTAGATTGTATTTTAAGTATTGTAGAGAGCCGTCAAAACTTTTGAACAAGGGTTTCTAGAGAAATAAGACCGAGCCTGATTACAAACCATTATGCTTGTACCTTAAAATGAATACATGTTGAGTGACTGTTACATCATAAACGACTTCATTGAGGAGGACAAGAAACACGCCATTACCTACATCAGGACAGCAGATGGTCAGGTACCGGTCCGCAGCTACAACTGTGAGCAGGCCAATGCTCACCATTCCAAAAAAGATATTCAGCCCAGCATAAACCTGAAAAACCAACAGTTAACAGTCCGCCATGCCAAGGCCCTCCCATGGAACATTTACAGTTTTTACTGTGTATATAAGGTGTGTGTGTGTGTGTGTACATGTACATGCCGTGGCACGTGTGTGAAGGTCAGAGGACAATTTCTGGGAGATGGCTGTCTCCTGACACCGTGGGTTACAGAGAATGAACTCGGGTTGTCAGGCCTGCATAGCAAACACTGTACTGGCTGAGCATCTTGTCAGCCCTAATCACTTGTAGTTTTGTCCCATTGTTAGACTGCATTTCAAACATATTAAATGTTCATGTGGTGGAACTGTGGAACAAAGGTTCTGGGGGTAACCAATCACTTTGGGGTTGAATTTGAGGCCTGCTCCACAGGAGGGAATTCACGCATGATACCCTACCCGGTTGTCTTCCTAAATGGGCGAGCTGTTAACTGCCTTCTAAACATGCTTAGACACACAGGCAGGTGCTACCCTCTGCCCCTGGCCAGAGAAGCTTCTCTCTGCACTAGTCAGCAGTTAGTGCAGAGGCTCTTAGCTGGTCAGTGCTGAGAACAAGTTGCTGAGGATAATTGGGCACTCGGTCTGAAATGGACATCTTTATCAGTCCCTCCCCGACAAAAGGCTCAGGGAACATCACAAAAGAAGGGGCAGAAAGAACGCAAGAACTAGGATGGGAAAGAACGCTATGCAGTGCTGTCCTCTGGATGTGGCGTGGCCATTGCACCCACGGGTGCACAGCAGTTATGGTGACCTGCACAAGATGAAGCCAACAGGGTCAATTAAAACTCAACAGGCAACACTAATTTCATTCACTGGGTTACAGAGTGTGTGTGTGGGGTGGGGGGAAGAGAGGACATGAAGGGGGCAGAGGCATGTGCTGGTAATGCCTGGGGGAGTAATAGGTGGTGGAGGCTTTGGGGGGGGATATTATTGAGATACATGCTTACACATATAAAATTGTCAAATAAATAAAAAGACATTCTATTATGAGCTGGAAAGAATCAGTTAAGAGAATTTTGCTGCTCTTGCAAAGGACCCCAGCAACAACATGGCAGCTCTCAACTGACTGTAACTCCAGTCTGAGAGGGATCAGATACTATCCTCTGACCTCTGCAGGCATCAGGCACACACATAGTATGCATACATACATGCAGATAAAACACTCATACACACACACAAAAAGACAAATATATACATGTAAAAATTTTGAAGATATTCTATTATGAAAATCCATATTTATTGCTATCGTATCTTATGATAGCATGGAAGAGGAACCAAACTCAATGTCATCAACAGATGACTGGATAATGAAATCCAACACTATACAAAATGGAGTATTATCCATCTGTAAAGAAAAATGAAACTTTTGGGAAAAATGGGTGAACCTGGTAAGTGTAATATTAATGGATAAAGCTCAGAATAAAAATTGTGTGTTCTCCCTCATATGTGGATCCTAGCCTGTAAGGTATACATGTATAAATATAAACAGGTTAAACATAGGCTCAGTATGTAAGTTGGAAAATAGACCAAGAGACAGTAATATTAGGTGATGAGGAAGAATAGATATAAACAAGAGCATAGAGCTGTTATTAAAAAAGGATATAAAGCTAATTGGCTTTCTATTTTTAACTCTATGTTTTTTCTTTTTTCAGGGTAGGTAAGTAAATTCAACTTTCTGAGTATTAAAGCAGCAAGAACCATAAAAAATTAATTTAATTGATAGTAAAAGTATAAAACCATAAGCAAAGCTCTATCGCCTCAGAAAGTTCTGGTTGTACAGAAGTTCACTGAGTAGCAGAGTTTGAAACTGGGCAGTGTTGAGCGGCCTCCTCACACCAGCTGTGTGGTGTTCTTCTCTGTGCCTTAATTTAAAAAGTGACTATTTTTAAAACAGAAATGTTAAACCTGATCTTAGTTTTGTACTGCCTTCAATTTTGCTTGCTAGCATTTTCAATTAAAAGAATAAAGAATTAAGCTGGGCATGGTAGCACACACCTTCAATACCAGCACTGTGGAGACAGAGGCCAGCAGCTCTCTGAGTTTGAGGCTAGCCTGGTCTACAGAGTGAGGTCCAGGACAGCCAGGGATACTCAGAGAAACTCTGTCTTGAAAAAAGAAAAAAAAAACTATTTATTCTTATTTTATGTGTATGAGTGTTTTGCCTGCATGCACATAAGTACACCATGTGTATGTGTGGTGCTGGACTCCCTGGAACTGGAATTAGGGGTGGCTGTGAGTCACCATGTGGGTGCTGGGAACTCAGCTTAGGTCCTCTATAAGGGCAGCAACCACTGAACCATCTCTCCAGCCTCAAGCAGTAGCGTCTGAAAGGGAAAATAAAGAAACAGTGAAGGCCTCAACATCTCTCTCATACAATTCCTCCTCTCTCTCGCCAATTGGACTTCCGGAGCTCCACCTGGGATTTGGCCGTGGATCTCTGCATCTGCTTCCATCAGTCACTGGATGAGAGTTCTAACATGACAGTTAGGGTGTTTGGCCATCCAATCACCAGAGCAGGTCAGCTCAGGCATCCTCTCGACCACTGCCAGTAGTCTATAGTGGAGATATCTTTATGGATTTCTGGAGACCTCTCTAGCACTCTGCTTCTTCCTATTCCCCTGGGATCTGTTGATGTTGAGACCATGGTTGGAGGAAGCACAGGGACAAATAGCCAACCTAGTGGAAACACATGAACTCTGAACCAATAGCTGAGGAGCCCCCAACTGGACCAGACCCTCTGGATAAGTGAGACAGTTGATCAGCTTCAACTGTTTGGAAGGCATCCAGGCAGTGGGACCGGGACCTGTCCTTGGTGTGTGGGCTGGCTTTTTGGAGCCTGAGGCCTATGCTGGGACACTTTGCTCAGCCTTGGTGTAGGGAGGAGGGGACTGGACCAGCCTTGGCTTTGTCTGTCAGGCTGGGCTGACTCCCCAGGGGAGTCCTTGCCTTGGAGGAGGTGGGAGTGGGAGGTGGATTGGGGGGAAGGGCGGGGGTGGGCTGGGAGGAGGGAAGACGGGGGAAATCCGTGGCTGATACGTGAAATTAAGTTAATTATAAAATAAAAATACTATAAAAATAATAAATAAAAGAAACAGTGAAAGGCTAAGACAGGGACAGTGAGAAAAGTAGAAATTTTCCAAAGTGGAAAGGGGCGTTAACATGACTAAGCACGGGGTTCGGTGATTACACTGGTAAGGAGTAGAACCAAACACTGTCTCTTCCTGAAAGGAGGCCGTGGTGCAAGACAGAGCAGGGTACCTACTGAGCTTTCAGAGAAACAGGTAGCACAGAATGCCTGTGATAACTGCCAACCCAAACTGGCAGAGTATTTCTGCACCTCCTAACAGAACCCACATCTGAGACAATCATTCATTTACATGGTTGTTGCCTTTTTAATGTGTCTTCCATGTAGAGTGTTTACTGAAGCCCTGTTTATAAAAGAAAAATTCAGGAACAAATGCTTAGTCACAGGGGAATAAAGACATATGTTGACAAAATAGAGTGCATGCATGTGGTACAAGACATACATACATGCAGGCAAAAGACTCTACACACAAATATAAAATATAAAGTATTAAAAACTAAATGCATCCTCAATCATTGCTGAAGCTATTTCCACAAAAGCAATGAATCTATTATCTTACAATATCTTGTTTTAAATTACTAGACTGTTGTTGTTTTGTATGTGTGATGTGTATGTGCACGTAAACATGTGTGAGGTACACACTCATGTGTGAGCATTTGGAGGCCAGGGGTTGACATGGGTGTCTTCTCTCTTGCTCTCCACTTTTTAGTTTTATTTTATTTTATTTTTTAGGGTCTCTCCCTGAATGGGGTGTTTGGCTACACTGGCTTGCCCTGAAGCCCTCTGGATCGAGTCACCTGCCTGCCTCTACTTCCCTCCAGCTGGAATTCAAGGTGTGTGCTGCCACGCGTGGCTTTTCCCTGGGTGTTGGATCCTGACTCAGGTCATCTGGCTCCCACAGCAAGGACTTTCCCCACTCACTGATCCACCTTCCCAGCCCCAGTTCTTGGGGTTTTTTAAAAAAGACATTTAAATTTGCATCTGTTTTCTTTACTTCATTTCATTTTCATTCCAAAGAGCTCCAATACCTGACAGCCTGTATATCCGAATTTCCAACTTCCATGCAGATCTGAAGCAGCAGACATGGGATAGCCAATGCTACTGACTCCTATATCAGTGAAAGCCAGGTTAATAATCACTGCATTCGTGGGTGTCCGCAGTTCCTTGTACTTAATGAAGATGCCCAGAACTACTATGTTGCTGAGAATGCTTATTATACCTAAGGATACAAACAAAAAGGATCATGCATTTTGTTCAACGTTAATATTGAGAATAGAATAAAAATTAAATATTTAAGTTACTTCAAAAAAGATAGCAATCCAGCTTAGTCCTTCAGTTTGAAGAGGTCCTGCTCTTAAAACCGTTAACATCTTCTGTAAAACAGAAATGAAATGAAAACACAGAGAATCTGTTGATTGTGGAAGCCAGAACTGAAGGCTGGCTCATGTCATCACCATTGACCATCTGTCCCAAAACACTCCTGTAGCTTTCACGACTCCAACACGTTGGGATTTTTAGGACACAGGAATGACCAGCTACCCTCTCCTGTGGCAGACTACTAAATTCCTCTTCTTTCTGCTTAGTTTCCTTTCTCAAACCTCAATCAGTATTCCATCCTAACAGCATTTCTGTCACATTTATGTTTTTTTTTTAATTTGGTTCATTATCATTAGGCACATTAAGCATAGTAAGATCATATGACTCTCCCAATATTTCTTAAAATTCAACTTGTCAAAATTGAAATTCTTCATTCAATGCATGAGTTTGCGCGCCCCCCCCCCCAATACTCTTAGAATGCATACTGCAACATTCGACCATCCAGACGATAGGCCAAGACAGATTTCTGGTTCATTGGAACATCACATCTGATGATACCATAGCTATGCGACCCTCAGTCTTGGAATCAAGACACTCAGCATTTTCAGTGTCCCACCGTTGGACAGGCCCAGACAGCTTCTTAGCTTGAGGACTAACGTTACTAACCAGCATGCTAGTGTGGCCACTGATGGTAAGAACCATTATTGAGCATACTGGGAGCAAATGTTAGCCACATCAACATTCCCTACATGCTGAAAGGATGCATGTTTTTCATGAGCCAGATGTAGGCCATCCTCAGGTCCCAGTGGTAGAGGCTGCTGTAAAATCAATTTCAATGGAGAAGCTAGAACCATTACTGGACTTCTTTCTAGAAGGTTACACAACAAACAGAAGAGAATTGTGTTTCCCAGGGAAAAGAACTACTTGATGAGCAATCCCCAGTTACTGTCCAAACCAGTGGGAGTACTCCCAAACACCAACACATGGAAGGATCAGCTAAGTCAGAACTTCCACTCTACTTTGGTGCTCCCATCAAACTTGGCTAGCATCCTTTTAATCCAATCTTCCATGTCCCCATTCTCTCTCCTCCATGTGACTGGTACACTTGCTCCATCAAATAACAAACAATAGATCTACTGGAAGCTTCCAGTTCCCCCAGTGCTTGAAGAATGAAAAGACCAATGTCCTAACCTCATTGTCTAGGCTCTTCACCCAAATCTGTTGTTATCCTCATTCCACACTTATGAAAGAAGCCCACTGGTCTAGCAGTCTGCAAATACATCAAGCGACAAATCTTGACTTTGTATTTTTCCCACTAGAAACACCTTGTGCTGTTCCTTTGTATGTTTAAATGCTAGCCATCCTTTAAAGTTCTGGCCAAGCCCAATGCAGCTCTGAAGCAGCCTCCTCTTCATGGGATTCTATATTCTTCTCCATCCGTTCCAAGGGTGCTTGCTGGTATCATCTCATTCTGGAGTGATGCTAAGTCATCCAGCTCTTACGTTGTCCTACCTTCTACATCTCAGGCTCCTAAGGAACTCTATCTTGGGTATGTGCCACACAGCACATTTCTGATGAATGGAATACCACTAAAACTCCAGTCAGCCCAATTTCTAGTATTCCTTCAAGCACCATGACAGCAAATTTGGCACTCCTTTGGCCCTTCTTACAAACATACAAGAACTACTGTGGGGATGAAGAAAAGAAACACCTTGTCATTTGTATTCAAAAAGGGTTAAATTCGGCACATACATTGCTGCCTAGCAAGCACATAGTCAGAAGAAAGTAACTCCATTTTTGGGGTGTCTCCAATATGTCGGTACTACACAAATAATTGACCCCTTTTCTCTGTTCTCTCTAGCTATCTTACACACTGCATTGTTTCCCGGGTTGCAGGTACTTTCCAATGAGTGTACAGCAGATCCATCAATCTAAATTCTAAGTAGGCCTACTCTCCCACCTTTTGAAATCACCCCCCCCCATTCCTGTAGCTCCCCTTCTATCTCTCCTTGGTCTACCTGACAGTCTTTCTTCACCACTACCATATTAAATGTATATTTTCAGTCTGCCCTGGACCCCTTTCTTTCCCAGTTCAGCATTTTGAGTGGGTTCATTGCATCTGAGATTGGTGTTGTAGAACTCAAGGCCATATGCGAAGCTGAACTTGGGGGCATCACCCCCCACCTGTTCCTCCCCAGGTGTGTTCCCATCTTGGTGAACTGCTTCATCAAGCGGTAGCACCCCCCACCCCGAGCCCCACGAGAAGTCATTCTCGATGTTCCCTCTTCTTTCCCTGCCCCACGTCAAACCATCCATTCTACCTTCCAGCTCTCGAGAGAGTCTACTTCTTTGTGCCTCCCCTCAGTCCCTACTGCTCCAACTTCGGGTCACTGCAGTGGCCTAATGGTCTCTCAGCTACCATCACAACTCACATCTGAAATGCAAATCAGATACTGTCTCTATTAACCCTTCAGTGACTCGCTGTCGCCTTACAGGTTATGTGGTCCAGTATTGTTTGGTACTCAGTCAACTTTTTCAGCCAATCTTTCACCGCAATTTTACAATTCACCCGTGACGAATTATTTCAAATCCATACACTTATCATACTCTCAATTCTCAGCTTTAACTGATGGAAGAGAGAGTGCTCAAGCATATTAAATTAACAAAATGTCTGTAGCAATGGTAAATGGTAAAAGTGTACCGGAGCTCAAATCCAAATGAGAGATTAAAATAAAAATCGCATCTAGGGGGTGGTAGAGATGGCTTTGTGGCTAAGAGCACTTGCTGCTACTCTAGACAGATGACCTGAATCCTGTTCCCAGCATCTGTGTTGAACAGCACAGAACCACCTGTAACTGCAGATCCACGGGACCTGACATCTTCTTCTGGCCTCTGTAGATATACATGTGGCAATCATTCATCAAGACACACACAGACATATAAGTAAAAATAGATTAGTACAACTAGGCCAAGCATAGTTCAGAAGCGGGAAGATCTTGAGTACAAGGCCAGCCTTAGCTACATAGATAGTTCTAGGCTAGTACAGACAATAGAGCAAGCTCCTGGTTCAAAAGAATTAATTAAATACATATATAAAATCAATAAACTCAACAGTAAAAGAATCTACATAGGCACATGGTGAAAATAATAAACAGAATGATAAGGGCATGAACTCTTCTCCTCTGTTTTCATTCTTATTTGGGAGCTCAAGTGGTTTTTTGTTGAAGGAGGAAAACGAGGAGATGGGAAGAACAAGAGATCCGTGACACACAGAACAAAGCAGAGGTGAGACATGCTTCCTTCTGTTCCTCTACAAAGACCTAAGCAAAGGTCACCTGCTCTGATGCTTCCTAACAAAACCGACCAATCGAGTTACAGAAGAGAACGCTAACAAGTAGGCCTCTGTTACAGCCAAGCACCACTTACAAGCGTGTGCTGGGAAAATCTCTTAAGCTCTTCATCTGTGTGAATCAGGAAACAAAACTCAAAAGCAGCTACAAGATCTTAGGAAATTTCCTTCACGTACTGATCTTGTGAGAAGATTTTTCCGCTCTGTATGTAGTCTCATTACACAGCCCACTCAACTCTGAAATCCTCAGCAATTCCCCTGCTTCAGCCTCCAAAATACCAGATAAATTTGGGATTTTCCCTGTCACCTACAATTAGCTGAACCAAAACTTGTCTATAGTGTCTCCATGTGATTCTGGAAATGTGGGCTCACTTTTTGCCTCTTGCCACACAGAAGTATTCAAATGAATTAATCACTGTACCACTAAAAGCAAATTGGAGGCCAACTCAACTGTGAGGTAAAAGCCAGACAGTTGTAAAGTAGACAATATATCTACTTTATATATCTCTCACTCTGTTTTTAGAAATATGATTGAAAATTTCAGAAAAGCCAGTCCAAAAGACAATGAACCCGATGTAACAGTTACTAAAACCTGCCACTGCCTACAGTTTGAGATTAAGTAGTTGCTGATTATAAAAGCCACGGCACTAAGAAAATCTGTCATTTCCCTCATGCTCTTCTCTACAAACAAGCCTTTATCTTAGTCTAATATCTGTACCAACAAGAGCATATATGCCCAACATCTATCTATGCCCCTCAGGTGCCTTGATGACATTTAATATACTCTTCCTAACAATCATGACAGATCCCTTATTATCATTATTCTACAAATGAGAAAATGCAAGAGTAAGAAGGTGAAAGATCTTGTGCACACTTTCAAAGACACTAAAAGCCAACCCCTCCAGCTCCCGTTTCCCATGACTGTCTGCTGGAGGAGCTGAATTTGCATATGGGACCTGCACACCGTACTTTCTTTTTCAAACCTGAGCTTTGCCTCCAGTACCTTTCAATCTTGAGTTAGAGTCTACCAAGAAGAAAACTATGCAAATTACACATGAGAATGGACAATGATATAAAGCATGCTTCTACCATGGTGCACACTCACCTCATGTTTACATTTACATTAAGCTCTCACTTACTAAAGTCTTCCATGTCAAGAGGCAGCATTAACAATGCTTTCATTTACTCTTCATTTCCATTTTCTGATTCATACGGTTCCCTTGGTGACCAGCTAGGCCACACTGCAGGCCTGTACCAGGCACCTCCACTTTTCTCCCATCCTAGAAGCAGGTAACTGAATAAATACCCATACCTGCCACAATCAGGTAAGCTGCAATGATGCTGTGTTCGGTCTTGGAGAAGACAGAACTGTCTTCATCCCCAGAGCCTGAAGTGTTTAAGTCTGAAGTGTCGCTCAGCATTTCGGAGTGTCCAGACCACCTTCAGAACAGCCTTCAGGCAATGGCAAGCAGCTTCGACAGCCTGTCAGGAAAGTTCTTTCAGGACAAATCATTTCCACTTCTAGACCTCAAAGAAAGGCTTTTTCATTAGAGGCCCTCCATTAACACACTTAATTGGGCTGAAGAGGAAAAGATTTTAATTCCTAGAACAAGGGGAAAGCTCCTTAAAGAGAAATCCCAACCACCACACATCTTAAGTAATTTAGCTCCTGTCTTATATTTATAAGCAGATTACCAAGCAAACCATTCTATTCAAACAAACAAAAACAAACAAATGCAACTCAGAAAAGCAGTCAGGAGTTGACTGAGTGTCGTTCGGCCTGATTTTGACACTACCCCCATGTCTGCGAGCTGTCCAGTTAAGGACTGCATTTTTGTACTCAAGACTGAACTGCTATGGACTGGGTGAGTTCCTTCACCTCAGGTCCCTGTGTTTGCTTTTCCTAAAAATTTGAATACACTATTGACTCCCTACTTCCAAATCTCTCCATGAAAAGTACCAATATCACCTGGTGTAATCTCATGCTTTCTTTTCTTTTCTACTCATACGAAAGGATAGCCTAAGAAGTTAAGGTTTTTCCCACTTTGCTTTCAAATAAAAATGAGGGGACCTGCTATGTGTAACCAGTATGTCTCTGTGCATGTAACACACAAACACACATGGTGCGGCTTGCTTCCCCAAAATACCATCCCATAAATACCAGTCTAAGCATGAGAGCCACGTGTTCCCCAGCGTGGATATGACATGCTCTATGCCACCTCAGTTAATTCTCCCACAATTTAACATGCATGTAAGTTCACATTTGGTCAACCACTCAGTTTATCAAGTACAGGATAATCCTAACTAGTCTATATGGTCACATGAGAACCTAGTATGAACATGCATTGCTAGGATAGAGGGGTCTCTCGATTACTTTTTAACATTAAACTGTAATTCTGTCACTAGAACTTCAAAGCAAGGCCCAAATGTCACCAAATTTCAGTGCAGCGTGTAACAGAACCACTAGAGGGCTGAACTTGCTCATCACCATTTCATTAGAGGGCCTCTCTGGTTGCACAGTTCTGTCCAGGAAACAGGCTGGGCTAGCTGACCAGTATTTGAACTTTTAAAAATGTGATTAAAAAGTGCTTGTTTTTAATAATTGAATGTGAACCAGGAATATGAACCTATCATGTAAATCTCCTCAGTATTCCACTTCAGGAGGAGAGGTCGATTTGACTTTGAACTAAAATATTTCAAGAAAAACCCAGACCTAACGAGAGGGGTAAGATACAAAAATGAATGTTTAATGACTAAACTGTGTAAGATAAAAAGAGAAATTACACTGAGCATGGTCGTGCACTCTATAATCCAGCACTCAAGGCCAGCCTTGGGTATGCAGAGTTTGAGGTCAGTTTGGTGTATGAATTATGTCTCAAATAAACCAATTTTAAAAGTGTGTGATCTCCGTTTGTCTAGCAGTCTCTACAACCCCACTGCCTTTGCCATTTTAACAGCTCTTATTAATGTCGCGCCCATCCTTTGGTGCTAATGCCCTTCACAAACTGATGAAGCAGACAGAACAGCTGGCCCCCTTAGGCTCACATTTGAATGCTTGGTCCCTAGCAGTGAACTACCGGCAAGGATCAGGTGGTATGCCTTGTTGGAGGGTGTCCATGCCATTCCCATGCAGATCAGGATGGGAGCTCTCACCTCCTTCCCCCATGCCTTTGCCTTGGCCTGTGGAATTATAGCATCATGATTCTGTTAACAAAGGGGTGCCTCACACACAGGCACAAATACATGCTACTAAAACAAGCACTCAAGAATAAGTGACTCACCGGGCGGTGGTGGCGCACGCCTTTAATCCCAGCACTCGGGAGGCAGAGCCAGGCGGATCTCTGTGAGTTCGAGGCCAGCCTGGGCTACCAAGTGAGTTCCAGGAAAAGGCGCAAAGCTACACAGAGAAACCCTGTCTCGAAAAACCAAAAAAAAAAAAAAAGAATAAGTGACTCATGCTAAAACAGACTTGAGGAGGAACCAATGAAGGAAACAGAGCCGACAGTTGGCACACGGTTCCACACTGAGGTGCCCTCACTTGCGGGCACACGGTTGCACACTGAGGTGCCCTCACTTGCTGGCACACGGTTGCACACTGAGGTGCCCTCACTTGCTGGCACACGGTTCCACACTGAGGTGCCCTCACTTGCTATAGTGCTTACTCTTGACAGGACACTAGCACGGTGACCAAAGTCAATTTCATTTATAGCATTCCTACCCAGGAAATAAAACGTGATAGGTAGTCAAATATTTACTTAAAATGAAGATAAGTAACTCAAGTAAAACATTTTTTCAGAAAACTTTTAATAACCATTTTAAAATCTCTTTTCCTAAATTTCTTGAACTATAGTTTTCACATGAACAGAGCTACTCAAATCTTAATGGATTAAAAAAACTTAAAACAATCATTAATTGCAATTCTGTGTATTATAAAAACAGCTTTATTCTGCGTATTATAAAACACAAAAGTGAAATACAGCAAATGCTGCTGTTGTCCCTTTTCAAAAGGCATTCTGAATGAGGAGTTCATTTCCAAGTAGTTTGAAAGTACTGTTCCAACAGCCTGGTTTGTTGGGGTGGAGAGTTGTTCGTTTGAGTGTGTCTGGTGCCTTTTAGAATCATAGTAGTATCTTTAAACAAATCTCACCTACCCCACCTTTTCTATCTGTAATTCAAGTTTAAACTTTGCTTGTTCCTCCAAATTTAAAAAAACAGGGTTGGTCCAATAAACACTAAGTTAAAGAAATAAAAAATTTTATTTAAAAAATCCAAATATGCTCCAAATAAAAAGTCCCATTGCTCTTTAAGCACCCAGAGTGCAGGCACTGTACAAGGCAGGTTCTTCACGCTCTCTCCGGGCCAGACGGATTGTCTGCCTGCCCCTCGTTTGTCTCCAGTGCTGACGATCTGCTCCACTGTCACAGCGCAGCCTCAAGGGTGCTCCAGAGACTTCAGTCACAGCAGCAGGTCACGTGGTGAAAAAGCCATGGTGGTCTGTCAACTGCCACATCTAATGTCCTCTTCCTGATCAAAAGACAACCAAGAGGGCTTGTAACAGTGCTGGTAACTGAATCAAGTTTAACATCAGCAGGAGTTCCCATGTTTGATAAATTTACATTGCCAAATACAATTGCCATTCATAGTACACATTTTTTTTTTGTATTCAAATTATTAATACAACAAAGTAATTTGGTGAAATCAATAAAGAATGGTATAGAACAGAGCTATTAATTAAGTTAAAGCCAAGAACATCCCAGTGTTTGCCACACTTGATGGGAGGGAAATAAACCTACATGGAAAGAAATCAAGAGATGGTATCAATCTACAAATGCAGTGATTTAAAGACATCTTTTCTCATACTCACCTCGGAATCCACCACCGCCTCCTCTTCCTCCTCTGAAGCCCCCACCTCCACCTCTTCCACCTCTGAAGCCACCTTAAAAAGGAAACCCTTGTTAAACAATGATAGCCTCTCGTTTTCTGATAAACTGTAAAAATTGTGCAATTCCTATAATCACAAAAACTAAATGTAAGTTCATCTATTGTGTTTTACAGAAACTTTTTTTTTCTTTTCTTTTTTTTCGGTTTTTTTCAAGACAGGGTTTCTCTGTGTAGCTTTGCGCCTTTCCTGGGACTCACTTGGTAGCCCAGGCTGGCCTCAAACTCACAGAGATCCGCCTGCCTCTGCCTCCCGAGTGCTGGGATTAAGGGCGTGTGCCACCACTGCCCAGCTCAGAAACTTTTAAAAGATAAAGACGAAGAAACAGCCATTTCCCAAGTGGAGCAGCAGGGTAAACTCAACATCACCACCTTCCGTTTTTCACATTATCTTCTGTGTGTGTGTGTGTATGTGTGCCATAGCATGTGCACAGAGGTCACTGGAAAACTCGTTGGAGAAATTAAAAGAATATGCTTAGACATAAATAGATATAAGACCAGCTCTTGGCATATAATCAAAATACTCACTGATAACTAGGAAACTACAATTCAGTTAAGAAATTCCTATAGTCATATAGTACATAATGATGTTTCATGCATAACATATCAGTCTCCTAAAACTATAATGGACCTAGAAAACTCTTCTATCTCACATTGTAGAGGAAGACAGCGCTCACATGCTCACAGCACTTTGGGAATATATAAGCCTAGTCATCTAAGAGGACAGCACAGAGCTGTGTACAGCACTAATACCTGACAATAGTTAAAAACAACTGCTGCAGGTTTGTGTGCCTGCTTCCCGTTACACGACTCTACAGTACATCCCTTTCACAAGGAGCTGATCATAAAAGAGCAGCCCCATTTCAGCAGCATTAGCCTCCATCCTTCTACTCTCCACTGCACTAAGAAGCCATGCTGAGTGATCAAGCTCTACTCAAGGACCTCGAGTAGTAAGTGCACATGATAAAACTGCCCAACGCTGCCTTTCTCAGACTGTATCTGTCATTAAGCAATGGTGACTGCCTTTATTAAAGTCTCCATTAAAGCATGAATAACCCAGGGGCCTGAAATCCTGCAAAGGTAAAGTTCATTTTCTTTCTTCTCTTTAAGCTGTGGAAACATACATTCCTATCTATGGATGTGGACAATGTGGACAACATGTAAGAGAAGCAAAGGCAAGGAGTCTGGCTACATGCAAAACTACACTACACTGTGTAAATCACCTGTGACTACAACCTCATTAGAAACCCCAAGTACTTACCACCTCTTCCACCACCTCGGCCACCACCTCCTCTTCCTCCTCCTCGACCTCCCCTGCCACCACCACCGCCGCCTCTGGGAGGTCCTTTCTCACCAGGAGGACGAGGCAGAAACCTCTGTAGCGGCAGCAGCTTAAAGGGATCTATATAAAACTGAAAGTTGAACAGGAGCAGTTAGTGCGTTAACTTGAAGGCAGTATGCTACAGTCCAAACTACTCAGGTTCAAATCCCACACCTA